CCCCACCCCCTCCTCAGGCGCCCCCCTCGCTGTCTCGCTGCCCTTGGGACCACCGGGCCCCCCTCTCCTTCTCCTCCATCTCCTCCTCACTCTCGCTGCGCCCCCATCACCCGCTCGTAGGTCGGTCGGGAAGCGCGTCTCGGTCAGATTCTCTGTCCGTCGGTCCGTCCGTCTCGGTCTCCCTAGGCCGGGCTCCGTCTGTCTCTCCCTGGCTTTCTCCGCGATTACAATTTCTAGTCACACGGCAGTGCAGAGCCAAGCTGTGCGCCTCGGCTCCCTCCCTCCCCCCTCCTTCTTTCTGGCTTCCTGCGCGGGGAGGGCGCCTCTCCTCCCTCCTCCTCGCCCGCCCCCCCCCCACCCTTTCCTTGCGCCGGAGGCCTCCCCCTCCCCCGCTAATCAAAGGCTCTGTTATCTAATTAACCCATTGGTTCTGGGCAGCCGGGGAAGGTCGAGGGAAGCGGGGGAGGAAGGTTGAAGACTGGGCTGCCCGGGGAAGGGGGGGAAGGGGGGCTCTGGACCGTGCCAAGCCTGGCCTCGTGGTCTAGACAACCTCACGGGCTGCAAAATCAGGCCGGGCGGGCGCTGGCCGCCCCCCTTCACCGCTGGCCACAGCACCCCCTCCCACACCTGCCCCCCGGAGTGCAGACAACCTAGCTAGGGCTTCTCTGCAGGCAGGCGCTCCCCTCAGCACCCCAGAAGCTCCTCCAAACGCCCTCCCCCGCCACCACATGGGTACAGACCTCCACCCCAGTATACCAGCGAACCCGGGCCCAGGTCATCCCAGTCCTTCAGCCCGAGGGCCAACCCCTGCTCATAACCACAAAGAAACCCACTGCCAGATGCAGTCCCCTCCCGCTGGACTTCAGCGGTTTCCTGCTATCCACCTCCTGATACACTTCTGCAAAATGGGCAGGGCAGGGCAGCCTCTTCCATTCATTCTATTCATCCATCAGTCGATGAATCCATCCATCCAACAGATTTTTTCCCCCCCATATCCCTACTATGTGCAGACGCCGGTAGAGATGCTGACAAACGCTACCCCCACCCTCCAGACCCCAACATCAAGTAGCAGTAGGAGCAGGATAGGTCAAGCACCAGGGGGTCTGGGTTTGTGTCCTGGACCTGCTGTGTGACCTCGGGCCAGTGACTTCATTTTTCTGAGCTGCAGAAAAACACGGTGAGACAGGGATAATAATAGTATCTATCTCACAGGGCCACTGGGGGACTGACTGGCTCAGGAAATGGCTCTCTCTTGACAGTAAATGCAGATCTGACCACTTCTTATGCCCACCACCATCTCCCCTGGGTGATCAGAGGTACCTCCTCACTGGTCTCCCCTCTCTGACTCTCACCTTCCCTCCCAGACTATTCCCACAGGTGGCCTGAGGGGTCCTGACCCCCCTCTGCTCGGCGGCCCTCACACTCTGTCTGGGTGGGGGGTTGGGGGGGAGTTGTGTGTGTGTGTGTGTGTGTGTGTGACCTGACCAAGGTTCAGCAGACCCTCTGCTGCTCCCCTGCTCACTCAACCACTTCGGGCCACACTAACCTCTTGCTGCTTCCGGATCCGGGCACACACTCCTGCCTCAGGGCCTTTGCACATGCTCTTCCCACGGCCTGGACCGACAGGCGTCCCACCCTCCCTTTGGTCTTTGCCCAGAGGTCGCCTTTTCAGTGAGGCCAGCTTGAACACCTTGCATCATACAGCACCCCCGCCTCACACCAGAACGTTCTCTGCTTTGTCTATGTGGCATTTGTTACCCTCTGACGCATGTTAGCCTCTGACCGGGGCTTCCCAGGGCTTCCCTGGTGGCTCAGTGGTAAAGAATCTGCCTGCCATTGCAAGAGATGCAAGTTTGATCCCTGGGTGGGGAAGATCCCCTGGAGGAGGGCGTGGCAACCTACTCCCAGTATTCTTGTCTGGAGAATCCCATGGACAGAGGAGCCTGGCGGACTACAGTCCATGGGGCCACAAAGAGTTGGACATGACTGAAGTGACCGAACAACAACGACGATGACCTCTTAGAAGCCCATGCACTTGAGTGTAAGCGCCCCGAGGGCAGGGACTGTGTCTGTTGTGTGCAGCTTGGTTCCCGGCACCTATGACGGTGCCTGGCACAGAGTAGGTGCTGAATGAAGACCGAGTGGAGGCAGCAGCAGGTGCCCCACTGATGCCTCCCAGAGATGCCCCTCTCTGCACACCCGGCCCAGACACACATCCCCCAGCTGCACATCTCAGGCTCACCCCCTAGACCTCTTGGATCCCAACGTTCCCTCCCATCCCAGGAAGCCAGCCCGGTGGAGGCAGCACATCCATATACCATGAGCAGAACCGCCTTCAGCTGGACATCCATGCCCATGCCGTGGTGCCACCTGGCTGATAGGCTCCCAGATACTCTACCCGAGGTCCCCAGGGCTGCTGTGTGCACCCACCAAACGCAGGCAAATCTGAGGGCAGCCACACCTCGGATGCCACCTGTGTGGGCTACATCGCTGTGTGCCAAGGGGACGCCTGGCCCCAGTTACACCCCTCCAACCCAGCTAACAGGGGTGCTGGCTAACCCTCTTCTGAGCACGTTCTCAAAACCAGGGATGAGGTACACACCTGACTCACACCATCTCCTTGACTAACGCCACCGCCACGCACGAATGTCTGCCATGTATCTGGCCCAGCGAGATCTCTACCCCTTGATCCCAGTGGCTCATCACTGAGGTTGGGACCCCTCGGTGCAGCAGTTGCCCTGGCGACCCCCTCACAACCCTTCCTCCAGTCTCACCCACCAGGGCTCCCTCTGACTTTCTTGGGTCCCGCCGGCTCTCTAGCCCCTCCTTACCCTTCACCTCCACTTCTTGGCGATTTCTTTGCCCATGCCGTGGTGCCACCTGGCTGATAGGCTCCCAGATACTCTACCCGAGGTCCCCAGGGCTGCTGTGTGCACCCACCAAACGCAGGCAAATCTGAGGGCAGCCACACCTCGGATGCCACCTGTGTGGGCTACATCGCTGTGTGCCAAGGGGACGCCTGGCCCCAGTTACACCCCTCCA